AGGACAAATGGCAACGCATTTTGAATAATGGAAAGCAGATGATGGACTTCCAGGTTACGACAGCAGATTGACACACACACATCTAATTTTGCTCCCTCTCAAACTCTACTAAAACAAGGATAAAGAAAAAATTTGTGTTGTTGATTTGTTCTGTTTTTAGAACACAAACCATAAGGACAGAATAGGAAAAAGAAACAACAGCAATACAATTTTGGAAGCTGGAAGGTAGATGGATGAGTGGTAACTGCTTGGTCAAACACAGCCAAATGGTTAGTTACCATTGCCGACAACTAAGAACAAACCCAGTTTACACTACAGAGTCCTCAAAGGCTCAGGAACTGCCGGAACAAAGAGGGGGAGGGAAGACTAAATAAAGAAAGCATCAGGTGAAAGCCATCTGAACAGTTAGAAACCTAGACCCCATTCTTCTTCCAAGTTGCTGGGTGGCCCACCCTCAATGCGGTAGCTGACTAGAGATTTTTCTCTCTCAAGAGGGTGAACCATACATGGTGGAACACACATGGGTATCCTAAAAACAAGAGATAAATTATGTTATCTTATATACTAAATGTTCTATGGCTCATTACCTAGCCCCATCTTCCTGAGTTCCCAGATCACTGGCAACCAGAATTCTGCCCTCCAATCAGAAAACTGAAAGATATGCTCTGGGAAACCTGTCCAGGACAAAATGAAAGACAGAGACTCTGAAGATCACCTTAAACAGTCCACCTAAACCAATGGTTTCAATCTTAGCCACACACTGGACTCACTTGGGCAGCTTTTGATACTAATCTATGGAGATAGAATTCAAAATATAGTAGTTGCCTCTGGAAAGGGAGTGGAAAACATAGAAGAAAGGGATATTGAAGGAATTTTCTACAATTTTCACAATGTTTTATATCTTGTGTTAATTACAGATGTGTACACATGGCAAAACTATCAAACTAAATACACTTAAAATCTGTATTTTACTGTATGCAACTACATCTAAATTTTTTTAAATTATTGCTATCTGGGTCCTAACCCTAGAGATTCTAATGTATTTGGTCTACTAGCAGCGTGTGTGTGTGTGTGTGTGTGTGTGTGTGTGTGTGTGTGTGTATACACATATATATTTTTTAAAGCTCCCCATGTGAATCTAATGTGCAGCCAAAGTTGCAAACCAGTTTTAGACTCTAGATTATAGGATAAAACTGTAAATCAATAAGCCCTGAACTTTCAACCAGCTTTTAGTCACTCATTCCCAATCATGAGGAAACTATCGAGGATTACCAGATGTCTAGAGAGGGCCTCTACTGCTGAGATTATACCAACTAGGAAAAAAAAAAAAAGGAACTTGGAGGAAGGAAGTATGCAAGAAGAAAGCTTAAAGAAACTACTTTTAACATTCTCAGACAGATAAGAGAAGGAACAGCATTCATGAAACAAGAAAAGAGATAGTGGAATATGTAACTAAGTAGATGAGGGGATGCGTGAAGAAGGAAATATGGTCAGTAAGTGATGTGCCTAACAGAACCCCAGTAAGGCTCAGCATTTGAGTCCCCAGGAGTACGGTCAGTAGGGGAGAGGTATAGTGCTGAAGAGCAGGTTAGTGGTTTAAAGTCTATAGAAAGTCTGGTGAAGTCTGTGTATAGACCCTTCAGTTTAGTTTCAGTTTCCTGTCCCTACCATTCACATCCTCTCATAAATTTAGTTTTTTGAAAACGATGACTTGGAGAGACTCCAGATCCAAGAAGAGAAGAGTGGAGTGATGTTCAAAGCTGAAAGCCAAGACAGTAATCCACCCTATCCATTTTCTACAGTTTCAGTTACCTGCAATCAACTGCGGTCCAAAAATATTAAATGGAAAATTCCAGAAATAAACAATTCATAAGTTTTAAATAGCACACCATTCTAAGTAGTGTGCTGAAATCTTGCACGATCCCACTCTATCCACTCCATCATGCCCGGAAAATGAATCATCCCTTTGTCCAGCTCATCCATGCTGTATATGCTCCCCAACCATTAGTCACTAGCCACCTCAGTTATCAGACAGGCTTTTGCGGTATCACAATGTTTGTGTTCAAATAATTCTTATTTTATTTAATAATGGCCCCTAAGCACAAGAGTAGTGATGCTGGCAATTTAGATGCGCTGAAGAGAATCTATAAAGTGCTTCCTTTAAGTGAAAAGGTATGTATTATAGGAAAAAACAGAGCATATACTCTGTAGGATTCGGTACTATCTGTGGTTTCAGGCACTCACTGTGGGGTCTTGGAAAGTACTTCCTGCAGATAAGGGGGAACTACTGTCTGTATTGTGAATAGTAGCCCCCACAAACCACTTCCTTTGCCCAGCTCTCGGAACACTGGGAGCCAGGTATATTACCTCCCCCAGTTTGATTTCAATGCCCCCTTTGCATGCAGCCAAACCAATTTTCAACGTAGCATTTTTTTTTTCCTAGTGGAGGATCAATGTCTTTTCTTGTATATCTACTACTCCTCCTAAACTCTAAGCGCCTTAAGGGCAGGGGCAGCTTCCTTAATCTTTAATTGATCCTAGACACTGGAGATACCATAAAAAAATAAATTAAAAAAAAAAAAGAAAGGCCCTCGGAAAACTAGAAGATACAAGGTATATTTAGATTAGGTCCTGCATGAAGATTAAAGACTTAGAATTTAAGACCTAAATAAATGGAGGACTATACCAAGTTACCATGTTCACAAATTGGAAAACTCAATATTGTTAAGATGTCAATTCTTTCCAAATTGATATACAGATTCAACTTCATTTTCCAAAATTTGTAGAAATAAACAAGCAGATGCTGAAATTTACATGGAAATGCTAAGTGCCAAAAACTGCCCAATGTTAAAGAACAAAGTGGAGGCCTTATACTCCCATATATCAAGGCTTATTTTAACATTACATTAATTAACACAGTGACATTCGTGCAAGAATAATAGACCAATGAAACATAAGTGTCCAGAAACAGATCCACACTCATACAGTCACCTGATTTATGAAAACGTAGAGAGGCAAGGAAGGTATTTTCAATAAATAGTGCTGGGTCAAATAAATATTCATGTAGTAAAAAGCATATCGTGACCCCTGCAAAGCCATCTGAAATTTACTGTTAATTGTATACCTTAAATGTGAAAAGTAAAACAAAATCAAACTTCTGTAAAGTAACACAGAAAAATATTTTCATATTCTTCGGCTAGCCATAGATCTCTTAAACAGGGCACAAAAAGTAGTCATCATAAAGGAAAAGATTAAGTATATTTCATTAAAATTAAGACTTTCCAGTCGTCAAAAAAGGCCATTAATGTAATAACTATGTACAGTGCCAGGTGGGTACTAGATTAATTGAAGGGATCACTCTGTAAATCATATAAATGTCTCACCACTATGCTGTTCAACTGAAACTAATATAAAATAATACTGAATGTCAACTGTAATTAAAAATAAAATAAATAAAAATAAAAATTTTAGAAGGCCATTAAAAGAGTAAAGGCAAGATACAGAGTGGAAAAGATAAACCACACACACACACACACACACACACACACACACACACACACACACACGTGTGTGTGTGTCTCCCAGAAAGGACTTTTATCCAGAACAAAGAATTACAAGTCAATAAATAAATAAAACTTAATAGGCACTTCACAAAAAAGAACAAACGGCCAATAAAAGATACTCAACCATAATCATTAGGAAAATGCAAACTAAAACCACAATGATATATTACTGCACCTCTACCAGAAGAGCAAAAGTTTTAAAAATTGACAAGGATCAAGCATGTGAAGTAACTGGAATATCATTCCTGAAAAAAAACAACTACTGTGGAAAATGTTCAACAGTACCTAATACTAAAGTTTCATCATTCACATACCTTTTCATAAACCAACAATTCCACCCCTAGGTATAAACTCCAACCTAATAATGTTCTGTTTCTTGATCTGTGATGGTACACTTAGTAAAATTTCTTTACCTGCACACTTAGTAGGGTGCACTTTTTCTGTATATCATACTTCAATAAGTTTTCTAAGATTTCTTTGACATAAAGTTCTCATAAACCTTAAGACTAGTATTTTAGAATAGAAAAGGAGCTTCTGGTAAACTGCAGAAAGTTTACAAATAAAATTTAAAAATAAAAATAGCACTAACATGTATCAGCCCAGAAAAAAAGGTAAAAACTACCAACAAATAATTTTTCTTCATCTTCATGAAGCACTGGATTTCTTTCTTTCAGCAAAGAACTTATTATCCCCCAAAAAGTTATCTTTGCAAGAAAACGCCGCTTTTAGAAATCACCTCTAACAGCAATGGATGGGAGCAAAGAGAAGGAATCATTCCAAAAGTTTTGTTTAACTCTTCAGTGAAAGGATGTAAAGTGAGTTGATGTAAGGCCCCCAAATGACAGACAGACACATAGACACGAAGAAATCACAGCAACTCTAAAGCGAACACCAACACCACAATCCTACCTACCGGAAATTCTGCGGTTAATTTGAGGCTTGCCCCGCTAGTCATAAGGTGATTCAGTGATGGCTACAACCGCTCCCCAACTGCATCCTTGGGAGTCATCTAGCACACCTGGCTTGCCCATCACTTGCCTAGAGACGCGGCCTTTCGCAGAATCCCGGGGGCCAAATAAAGACGCTAACTTTGCAAGGAGCGCGAAGGGTCTCACCTGGTCAGGTTACCTAGAGGGAATGGACTTCTTGCCTTGAGGGCAGGGGTAAAGGGTCAGAATTCCCCACAGAATTTACGGGGAGGCGTCCCCAAAGCCGGCCCGTCCCTCCTCCTCCTTGGTACTCCACTGGAAGACTCGCTGCAGAGTTTCTTCCCTAGCGCGCAAGGGAGGAGGATCCCGGGCCGCTGCGACCACAGGGAACTTAGGCCCCGGCGGGGCCGGACGCACCCTCCCCGCTCGCGCTGCAAGTTTGGTGGCGGCCCCCACTCGCCGCGCCCCGGGCCCGCGGCCCGCCCGGCCTGGCGCGGCGCCTCTCACAGGAAACGTTGGGTGGACTCCGCGGTAAACATTAACTTGCCATCCAGCCGGCAGCCGCGCCGCCGCGTCTCAGCGCCTAGGCTCCGCTCCGGGCTCCGCGGGCCGCCCTGCCCGTCCCCTCTCGAGCGCGTCGCTCACTCAGGAGCTCCGGGCAGCCGCCGCCCTTATGTAGACCTGAGATTGGCATGCAGGGTAGATGTTTATCCCTCTCTTGCCCAGTAATTTTTGGACCGCCAGTCCCTCCGCGGTCCGGCCCGGCCGCGTCAGGAAAGCCCAAAGCGCAGGCGCGGCGGGGCCTTAAAGAGCCCCGGCCGCCTCCACCGCAAAATGGGTTCGAGCAGGTTAGGGGCCGGGCTGGCCGGCCAAGGAGAAGCCGAAACGATTGGACGGTGGGGAACGGGGCGGGGAAATCCCGCTCCTCCGCCTCTTTCAAAGCCCCTGTCCTCGGCCCTACAAATTGCTGACTTCCTCAGTCTCTTGAACCGCCCCTTTCTTGTAAGGGTTGCACACTGCACAACCATCGGGAGCCCCGAGCGACCCCACGCTTAGAGCTGAGGGCCTCGCGCTGTCGCACCGCCCACGCGCTTGTCTCTCAGGCCGCGGGCGCGCGATGCAGACTTGCAGGCTTCGAAAGGCTACTTGAGCTCCCCGAGAGGTGACCTAGGTCTCTCTCAAAAACAGTAATCAATGAGTAAAATGCACTTGTGATTGCAAATCACTTTCCCCTTCAAGTCCTCTCGATACACCAGAGTCCGGCAGGGGGCAGAACATGGGCACAAATGTGAGATCCAGACGGGCAGCCATCCAATATCAACGAAGAGATTCTTAGAAGTATTTAGTTTGGTACAGAAGCTACCTACTAATTCCGGTCTAATTCCAGGAAAAAAGATCAAGAAGAATAATGAGGGCAATATAAATTACTTTTATTGTACATTTACAAGTGACTGAATGATAGTAATTATCAGCACAAAATATCCAAAATTATTTGCCTAGAAATTAGATAGCCCTGGTTATCTTCTAATTTATATTTATAATCTCCAGAAGCGGTTCCGCTGTGATAAACATTTCAGAAAAAGAAAAACTCTCCATTTTTTTAACAAGATTAGGAAATACCAAAAAAAAAAAAAAAAAAGGAAGTAGAACCATGCCCTTCACCCAGCTAAAAACTTTGAAACCTTGACATTTTATCTGAGGCAAAATTTTGCATAACTTTAAGTCATGCCATTATTTGAAGTCAATTTCAATTAATTTAATTGCTACCAAATTTATATTGTATAAGAAAGCTAAAAGACATCTTAATCTAACTTTCCCTCCTATATTTCATCTATCAGCAAATCCTGTTGATCTTACCTCCCAAATTTTGCTTGACTTTGTCTTCTTCTGTCTCCTCCATCAACACCCTAGACCAACCAACTTTTGTCAGGAGTGGGGAGTTACTAACCTAGACTTCTAATTGGTCTAGCCCCACTCTAATCTCTTCACACAAAAGGCTATGTAAGGCTATGTGATCCTGTCACTTTCCGGGGTAAATTTCTTCAATAACTTCCCATTCTCTGAGACAAACCCTCTTAACTAACCAAGCCCTGCAAAATCAGGTGCCTTTCCCACCTCCACCTCTTCTCACTGCTCAGACCACATTCCATCTTGCTGTCTCTGTTCCAGGCACACTGGCCTCTTCCAATCCCTCAAAGCTCCCTCCCTCCACAGAGCTTTTGCATGTGCTTTGCTTTGTGCCTGGAGAGTTGTTCAGCCCTCATTCATCTGATCTCAGCTTTTATCTCTACCTCTGAGAAATGCCTGCGGACCTCCCTACCTTGGTCTCTTCCTATCACACTTCGCTGAAACTGTAATTGCATGATTATTTGGGTATGTTTTTGTTTCTCCCACTGGACTATTACCTCCACAAGGCCAGAAACTTGGGTTTTTTGTTTGTTGGTTGGTTGGTTCATGGTTGTATTTCCATATTTGTTCAATACTTATCTGTTTAATCAATGAATGAGATTCATAAAATGCTAGAACTTGAACTAGATGTGGCTTAAAGGTTACCTATGTCATATAATGGTAAAATGTCACAATTTGACATTTGGAGTTGGAGTCAGTCAAAAAGAACTCAAGTTATTTTGAAACGATTTTATATTGTTTTAGCTGGGCTGACATAAGATTCTTTGGGTGACCTTTAAAACTGAGTTCTCGAAGCACCTTGTACAAACCCCTGAATTAATAATAATAGCTATGGGATGGGCCCACATGAAACTAATAACACTGGTCACTTCAAGGGAGGAAGATTGAGTGACTAGGGGGCAGGACTGGGAAAGAGACTTTTGACTGCCTGCCCTTTTGCACCTTTTCAATTTCAAACCGTGTGATGAAAAAAAATCGTAACTGGTTGCTTATGGCTGGGAATTGACCCAGAAGGAACACGAGAGAACTTTCTGGGTGATAAAAATGGTCTATATCTTAATAGGGGTGTGAGTTACACCAATGTGTTCATTATATCAAAAAAAATACACTTAACATTTCAATTCGTGTAAATTTTACCTTAAAACAATATAAAAATAAATGTAATTTATTATTTTAAAAATAAGCTAACACATGGTTGAGCACTCTCTGTGAACGAGTATTGGCTGAGGTCTGTACATACATTATTTCTTTTAATCCTCTACTATTCTCGTGAGGCAGGTATTATAACCCCCTCGCATATAAGAAAATTAAGACTTAGTAAATACCAAGTAACTTGCTCCTTTTTATACATCTGAAAAATAGTGGAGCAGGGCTTTGAACCCAGTCAGTCTAATGCCAGAAGTGGTTTATGTATCTTACCCACCCACTAAATCAAGAGCTTTGCAATGATTGAAATCATATTTTGTCTTAGGCTTCTCAGTAGCCCCAGTACTTTGCATAGTAGCCGCTCACAGTATTTTGAATGAATAATAACTAACTTGTGTTGTTTTTATTGGTACAAATTATATATTTTTTAATTAGTAGTGTGTGTGCGTTTGTGTGTTCTAAATAATCTAAATAATCGGTGCTGCTGTGCTAAGTGCCTGAGATATATTATCTCAAATGAGGTTATTGGCCTGAGGAAACAAGCTTGTACCCTTAGCTCTGAGCTTCCAGCATTATCCCTGGTTTATTCCTTTTCTTCACTCACCCTGAGCGCATCAATTTATGTGATGACACAGCTTACACTTTAACTTTTCATTAACATAGCTAAATCTAACCAGAGAAATAGCTAATTCTAACCTCTCACAAGTGCTTGAGCACTTGCGTAAGTGAAATTCCACTGTGTGAATTCCATACCAACACCACCTCTGCTTCAGCACTCTGCCACTCTGGTGTTCACACTCAGGAACTTCGAACTAGAGTAGAAGACAGAGGAAGCGTAGGTGTAATGGGCAGTGTCGCCTTCCTCAGAAAAGTTTAATTTAAGGTAAATTCAGTTAGCAATTCAAAGTTTTCTATGTTTTAATGCTGCACACACTTAGCAGTGATTTGTGTCACTGTCACAAAAGGAAGGTCTAAGCTCTATCCCCTTTAAACCTGGCAAAGGTTAAATCTCAGACCACAGTCTCAACTACCAAAAATGTTTCATAAGTCAGCCATATGAGCCTCATCGATCACAGAAAAGAAAAGCAAGGGAGGCATTCACCTGGGAGGCAAAAACTGCAAGGTACAGAAAAGGAACTCACCAGTGGACTCAAACCCACTGATGAACAACACCCCACCCTCACCCTGGGCAGCTGGTATTTGGGGCTTCCTTGGAGAACCAGGACATCTCAGTGACATTCTAGGATTGTGCCGTCCAAAACAGTAGCCTCTAGCCACATGTGACTATCTACATTTAAACTTAAATTAACTTAAATTAAAACTTCAGTTTCTCAGTTGCACTTATACATTTCAAGTCAAGTGCTCAATAATAGCCACATGTGGCTACTGGCCGCTATCTTGCATAGCACCAATATAGAACATTTTCATTCATCATAAATTTCTCTTGGTAGCGCTATTCTAGAAAATGGAGAAACAATACTCCATTGCAGCTCCCAGCTAATGTTCAAATTTGTTTCCTTTGCAAAATGAAGGCTTGCAATGAAGTAGTGAAAACCTATTTCACTTGGCTCATTGTTTTCCACAATACCAATAAAAAGGTAGTCAAGCACAAAAGCTGTGGCCTCTCCATGTATTGAGATTATAAGAATGACTTTAACCTCACCACTTCACCTCCACCATATTCCATTGTTTGCAAGACACATAATCCATAGAAATAAATGTTGTTACGAGGCACACAATTCTATTGCCATCTCTTGGCACTTGTGCCCAGATAGAGACTAGATCTGCTACAATTATAGTAAAGAACCAGCTCTCTGGTGCTAGATTTTGGACATGGTTTCCCTATGAGATATTAAGATATTCACACTATCAACCCAACAACAGCTTTTGAAATTGCGCCACCAAAATGAGATATCAACAGAGTGCCAATTTCTACCCCACCCACCAAAAGAGAAGTCTACTCTTTTCTAGACTTTCTGAAATACCTGTTTTAAAGCAAGATAAAAGTGCAACTAGAGTAGAAATTCCATTTAAATTATCCAATTATCTGGGAGTTAGGAACCTTTATGTTAATGCAAGTGACTAGATTGTAACCTAAAATTTCATGTGTGGTTGCCAAAAGTGCGCTTAACCTTTTTGAGCTCCAATCTTCTGATCAATAAAATGGAGATAATAATAATATCTATGTAAGCACTAAAGTTACAATAAAATAGAATAATATATGCAAGGCACATAATAAACATTCAACAACTGGTAGCTATTGTAATTGCTATTATCCAAAGCCACAAAACCAACATGCAAAAAATAAAAAGGTAGATTTAAAAAAAGACTCTGAAGTACAAAAATCCTGACTCTACCACGTGCTAATTGTCTGGCCTTTAACCTCTATAAGCTTCAGTTTCTTAATCAGGCAAATAATGATTAGAGTTGCCAATAATAAATGTGTTGTGAGATGTGTTAATTCATGTGAAAATGGTCTAATAATAGTAAAGTCAAGTACAAACTTTAACTAATGTTAATTAGCACCCTGCCTCACCTCCACCAAAAAGATGAGGAAACTAACGTTAGGAAGGTGTTGCTTTACAGTATAATTACTTTAGCTTTTATCATGAA